CTTGGGTAGACAGTGGTGCTGTCTATTATAATTTAATATTTAATTAACCTATGTATATTTAATAAATATTTAAAATGTAAGTAACTTAGCTGTTTGGGGAGGGAGGGAGCAAAATATTAAAAAGAATGGATACAAAGTACATGTTGTTTTCTAGCACATGCAGGTTAACATGTTTTATCCTTAGTAAAGTCAAATACGTAAAAAACATCAAGCTTCAATAATGAAGATGAAGGAATTCACATGGAACAGACTATACAGACCTTATTAATCACTCAATCAAATCGTTCAACAAATACTGAGTACCTACTATGTGCCAGGCATTGTTAGATGCTAGAAATACAATGATGAACAATATAAACGTCCTAGAGCTTACATTTTATTATATAAAGAACAAGACATAGGAAACCAGCTCAATAATATTAGGAAATTGGTTATTTTTAAAAAATAAAAATAAAACTCAGATGAATTATTTAATACTGATTTAAAATCACATGATAGAAACTAGGAGGAAGTTATTTTAACCTTTGAGAAAGAAGAATATTATAAACTTAAAAGTGACAGATTATAACGGAAAGGACTGATATATTTAACTGCCTAATCTGTACATGAAAACATAGTCACCCAAAATTAAAAAGGCAGACCACAGATTGGGAGCATTATCTAGAATAACAAAGGATTAATATATTTTCCTCATAAAGTCTTTTTTATACCTACATAAAAAAATAGGCAAAGTACTGTAACTCTTACGAAGCAAAGATAATTAACATATTAGTCTCAATGATAAAGACATATCATGGTAGGAAACATAACAGTTTTTTAAAAAAAGTAAGTAAAAACCACAGGGAGTGTTTAAGAAAATTATGATAGCCAGTTTTGACAGTGAAACAGCACTTTCACTGATGATTGCCAGGTAAATTAATAACCCCATTTTAAAAGACTAACAAAGTGCATCAAGAAGTAAAAAAAATTTCATGACTTTGAATCCTGAAATTTTAGTTTTTTGAAGTCTATCCTGAGAAACTTAATTTCAGAAAAAATGCTTACTGTACAGTATTACTTAGAAAAGAAGTGAAGCATACTGATTAATTAATATTAATTATATCTCTTATGCCAAAATTACCAATGAAGTGCCTGAAAATAGTTTATTTTTTAAAACAAGTTTCTTCCTCTACCTTCCATTGGTGAAGATAAATATTAACCCAGCCCTGATTTAATTATCTTAAAATAGTTACAACCTGAAGGGTGAGGTGTCCCTAAAGTTCTATTACTATAAATAGACTTTTTGTTTAGTAAACTTCACCTTGAGGTTGTATTATATTGCTTAATATTTTCTGAAAGATTTGGAAGTCCTTTATAAACAATTTCATTGGTATTTCTAGTTGGGAAAATCAAATATAAATCTAAGTCCCTTTATACATATATCTACTTGTTTTAAATGTAGTGTGGGTTGGTTATAATCTTGAAAAATAGAAAGCTACTGTGAGTTGAACCTGAGCTAAAATGTTTTCTCTATTAACATTCCTAAAGGCCAGCTTTATTTATTTATTTTTGAGGTACAGTTGGTTTACAATATTATGTTTCAGATGTACAACATAGTGATTCAGAATTTTTAAAGGTTATACCCCATTTGTAGTTATAAAATATTGGCTATATTGCCTGTGTTGTACAACATATCCTTGTGGCTTATTTATTTTATACATAGTAGTTTATACTTCTTAATTCCCTACCCCTGTCTTGCCCCTCCCTCGCTTCCCTCTCCCTACTGGTGACCACTGGTTTGTTCTCTGTATCTGTGAGTCTGCTTCTTTTTTGTTACATTCACTTGTTTGTTGTTATTTTTTAGATTCCACATATAAGTGATAGCATACAGTATTTGTCTTTCTCTGTTTGACTTATTTCACTTAGCATAATACCCTCCAAGTCTGTCCATGTCATGCAAATGGCAAAATTTCATTCTTTTTTATGGCTGATGTGGTATTCCCACATCATCTTTATCCCTTCATCTGTTGATGGACACTTAGGTTGCTTCCACTTATTGGCTATTGTAAATAATGCTGCTGTGAATATGGGGGGGGGTGCATATTTTTTCGACTTAATGTTTTCATTTTCTTCAGATACATATACCCAGGAGTGGAATTGCTCAAATTAGTGTTTTTAGGGTTTTTTGGGGGGGCCACTTTATATACCCATGAGTGGAATTGCTGTATCATATAGTAGTTCAATTTTTAGTTTTTGAGAAACCTGCATACTGTTTTCCACAGTGGCAAAACCAATTTACATTCCCACCAACAGTGAACAAGGGTTCTCTTTTCTCCACATCTTTGCCAACATTTGTTATTTGTGGACTTTTTGATGATAGTTATTCTGGCAGGTGTGAAGTGATATCTCATTGTGGTTTTGATTTGCGTTTCTCTGATGATTAGTGATGTTGAGCATCTTTCCATGTGCCTATGTGCCATCTGTATGTCTTAGGAAATATGTCCGTTCACGTCTTCTGTCTATTTTTTAATTGGGTTGTTCTAGCTTTTTATTTAAAAGTACTATAAAACCATATTGCACATCTTCAGTCAACTATTAATGTTCTACTTGAACAATGCCCTTAATAAGCATTTTGAAAGTATTTTTCTGTGAAGAACAAGTCAAACAGACTAATTGGGAAACTTGTATTTGTGTACGTCCTGCTGTAAGAATTATCTAAAGCACATATTAGGTGTCACCAGTTCCGGGTTCTGATGTTGCCACAGATAACAGCTGTGTGACTTTGATGAAATTATTTTGCAAGGCTTGAAGTTCCTTGTCTATGAATATAAAACAAAGGAGATGGATTACACAGTTTTCTTTCCTAATCTGAGGATCTGAGGACTCTCCAAATGTAGCAACAGGAAAGTGATTTTCAGTTATTCGAACAAAAGGAAAGTGTATAGGGATTTACTTGTTATAAAGCCCTTAAAAATGCATTCTTTGGTGTCCCTGTAGGCAGAAAATGTTGGTAGTCAAATAAGCCCCCCAAATTTGGCAACTTCTGGAATATTTAAGATCTAAGTCCTTCCATGTCTGAAATTATATTATATATCATCTCATAGAAATTGGCAGGGTGCTGTAACTGACTTTTTAAGGTTAAATTAATAGAAGATTGTTTATATGCATTAAAGTTCTTTTACTTTGAAGACTCTATAGTAGATTCTTGTGATTCATGAGGCTGAGACCCTTGAAGAATTCTAAATCCTTAAAACTAGCAAGTATATATTCTCAGTTTCTCCAACTCTAAAATGGAGGAAAGAATATTGACCAAGTTGTCAGGCTTAAGTGAGGATCAAATTTGGGTCAAATTAGGTGGGTTCCTCTTTAGAATAACCCACTGATTCTGAATTGCTGGGTTATTCTACTTAATGTCTCAGCAAAGTTAAGTTTCCCACTGTCAAGACCTATTTGTTCTGAAATCTTGAGTTCAGATCTGCAAATGTGAAGTATTTACTCTGTTCTTTTCTCTTTTGTACAGATTTGAAGAGTATCAATAGAGTGTTAGAGATGTAGCACAAGGCAAGAACTGTGTGACCTAGATTCTAGTTCTTTGTCATCATTGCACCTTTACTTGTATATTGTCTGTAAAATTGGTGAAAAAAAATCTGCCACAGTTCTTGTGGTTGTGGAGAACAAATGAAAATAAATCGGGTGTAAATAAGTTGCCATCTAAATGGAACCAGTTTTTACCATTTTCTTTTTTGCAGGTCTACCTCAATGCATATGCATGATCTTCCAGAATTCAGTTTTGAAATTTACAGGTTAATAACACCTTACAGTAATATGCTACAGTTCAGTAATACTCATGTAATACTCATAATCTTGGAGGAAGCTGGCAAAGCTGGAAGTAGAACTCATCAGCTCTTGCTATTTATTCTTTTTGACACTGCTTATTAATGTATTTTAAATATCAAGAGCACAGATACTAGAGAAGAGTAAGTCACCAGAATCCCATGGTATTACAACAGGTCAGGTTTTCTTAAAATGTCTAGATTACCCAGCCCATGGAAGGCTTCTTAGGTGGAAGGTGCTGCCCCGTGACTTGTGGGAACAAGTAGCAACCCTAATTTACTTTATGGACCCTCAATCAGGTTGCCCAGGGCAACCTCAGTCACAGAGGTTGTGACTCTCAAATCACCCTCTAAAACTGGCTCTAAAATTCTAATCAACTTTGACTCAAAACAGAAAACGGAATCTAGTCAAAAATGGAAGACAAATTAGCTGAAAATTTTTGTTGGCATAATTTGTACCACACAATCTGTAAAAGTTAGTGTCTACCTAAATCTTTTAGCCCCACAGGACAATTCACAAATTTTTATAGACTTAGAAACAAAACACCCACTGCTTTTATATCATAGGCCCTCACTGCAGCTTTCTTATTTGAGTTTAACCTTCTTCAAGTATGGTATTAAAATGTGGAGTTCAAAACATACAATTAAAAACAAAACAGCCCAATACAAAGAATAGTAAGATTATTTCAAATTCTCTACTAGGTTACACATTGGGTCAGCAACTCTTAAGGATAAGAAGATAGTATTTTTCTTAATTTATCTTTTTTGGCCACAATTAGGGGAGAGAGAATTAAACCTTAACCTTCTGTTTCCATGAGAAGTGAGTATAAATGCACCATGTCCTCCCCCCAGTTCCTTTTTTTGATCAAGGCACAATGTAAATAAATGTAAAATTAACAAGGTATATTTTTCTTGTTCAAACTCATCACCGCAGTTAGCGAAGGGGTACAAGCTGCACACTGTCCCCAGTCATCTTCCTACCTTTAGAGGCAACTCTGGCTTACTGCAATGCATGTTGCAACTGTGTGGCCCAGTGGTTGCCGAGAAAGGTGGTTTTTTGGGGGTGGGGTGAGTGGGAGTGCGGGGTGCCCCAAATTTACAGTAAGAGTACCAACAGTCAAAAACGTCCAGCCCTCTGCCCAAACCCACCCAGTCGCACTCGGTCATTCTCGGTATCTTCTTAATTTTTTTCGGCAAACGCAGTCTTTTCCTGCAGCGGATAGCAAGAAGGCCAGCGAGCGCCGAGGGAACGCGACCCTTTTACCATACCCAGTTAAAGCAGCAAAGAGGAGGTGAACCGTAGGCGGCTGGATCAATACCAAGAAACGAATCCTCTTAATCCCGGGAGCCGTCCTCCTGGGTGGAATCCTTCCGAGTGGTTGTAGCAGCCCGTCTCCATAGTAACTGGCCGCGGCGCCTCTCCAGCCCTGGGGCCCGGATGTTGTGAGGCTCACGGCCGCGGGGCCCAACTTCCCACAGCTTCCTGCAGCCTCACAGCGGCGGCTGCGTTCCTCTTCGGGAGTCGTAGTTCCTTTCTCCGCCGCCGCCCGACACGAAGCGCGGGCGGGACTACGAATCCCGGCATGCGCTGCGGCGTCCCGCCGGCTGCCGCCTCCCGGCCGCGGACGCCTGAGAGCAGGTTGTTGTTTTTATGAGAGGCGTCACTGCTCTGGGAGCTGTGACTGCCGCCACCGCGACAGCCAGCGCCGGCCGGCGGAGGTGGCGCTGCTCCCTCAGGTACGGCCCCGGGCGGGTCTGCACCCCGGGAGAGGGAGTCTGGCGGACTGTCGTGGTCCTGGCCGGCACTCGCGGTTCAGTCCTTGCCGAGGCAGTCGCGGGGTGTCCACGGAGGCGGGGGGGGGGCTGCTCGGGTAGGGGCTTGACCCTTGGCGTTTGCGGCCGCCTGGGTGTCCTCCGTGCGCGAGTCCGCAGCCCCCTCGGCCAGAGCCGAACCCCGAGGCGACTGGTCTGGTGGTCCTGCAGCCTCCGATTCCTGCGTGCAGATGCGAGCGGTGCGCGGGGGGTGCGGGGGAAGCTGACGGCCCGGGGGACGCACCCGCCTTCTGTCGCGGGGCTGGCTTAAGGCGCTTCTCGGTCCTGATTGATTCGAGTCCGTATGGTAAGATGTTATGTGCGTCACGCTGCCGGGTTTTCAGCCGGCCCATCTTTTTTGGTGACGTTTGAGCTCCGTGATGCCAATAACAGAAAGATTAAATATTAAATAATGCATTTGGGATTTCTGCTCGTGCGCCAGAGTGATCATGATCAAATCCCCCTCCCTATCCTTGTCCCCTTCCGCCGGTTCCCTTTAGTGTCGACTTTCCTGATGGATAAGTTCTCCGGAGCAGCAGTCCACACAGTGCCTTGTACGCGTTACATGTTTATTTTTGTTTAACGAATCCAACTTTTTGCCGTGGGGAGCGCCAGTTTTAACTACTCAATTAGGTATTTCGTGGAATGGGTGAAATTTGCGCTTCTTCACTCTAGATTTATTGAAAAAAACCAGAATGGCTCTGTCGTGTAGCTGGAATAGATAATTATTTTAGTACTGAGAATTTTAGCAGATTTGCCTCCTCTGATAAAGTCACATGTACTGGATAGTGCTTGAAATGTCACTATTAGAGCATCATATCTTTGGCTTAAGGTTTGAATCTTAATAGGCCCCACATTTCTCAGGCTGATGGTTTGCTGTTTTGTCCTGAGCTTTGATCATAAAGGGGAAGGGAAAGGAGAAGAAAGGGTATTATTTTAGTGAATAATTTTTAATCCTTTACCCAAAGCTAAAGATGAGATTCTTAAAGAAGCTAGTAAAAGTCTTTCTCAAATAATGTTTAAGGGTGTGGGAAAGTCTAGTTTTTAAATGAAAGTTGGTTAGAAAGTCTAATTTTGTTAACTGTAGAGCTAGAAGTGATTGTGTCTTAAAGAAATAAGACTCAAAGAATACTCATAGTTAAAAAAGTGATTAGATGGTGAAACTACAAGTTATTTTTTCTTTCTGTTTTCTGGTATTTTCCAAACTTTCTTGAGGGAGAAAACCTTAATTTTACAAAAGGGCACAGCTGCAGCAATTCCAGTCAAGTGGACTCTAAACGTTAATCTTAAAAAGCAAATTAGCAGCAACAGCAAACTGCATAGGCAGAGCCCCTGTTACTGCATCCACAGACTATGAATAACAAGCTTAAATGTAAATTATTTGTCAGGAAGTGACAAGAAATGCATTGGTTGGGCTGGAAAGGGAAAAAAAGGACAAAAATTCTTAGCACTTGTACATCTCATCTTATTTTGATCTGTTCTCCTTTCTCATTGTATAGTAAAATCAAAGAAAATTGCTTACTTTTCTTCAGTGAAGGCAGTGCAGTCGTGATTATTCCTATAACACCAGGTGACAAAACTTGGGTGTATTAATCTGGAAAGGTCTGGAGATAGGATTTTTTGTTTATTTGTAATCATTTGCCAGTGGAAATAAAGAAGTTGAACAATTACTATAAAATGGGAGACTTTAAGCTTCTTTTCATTGAATCATTTTGAGTACTATGCTTTATATGTCTGTTTTTTTTATTATGCTTTGCATTATTTTCTGTTATAGATACATTGGATATGGGTGGGTAGGTAGCGTATCATTTAGCCCACATTTTGTTTTCTGTCGTAAAGGGCCACGTTGTTCTTTGATGAGAATAGTCTGTGTATTTCTGCAGTCTTGAAAAATTGAACTCACCTCAACTCCAAGTGTTCATTAACTCTTAAAATATCCATTCTGAAGCTTTTTTGTTTTTTAAGCTGTAGAAGTCACACTTCATTTTCTTAGGTTGTTTTCTTTGGAGCTTTGCTTCTCTCCTTAAATTTCAGTTTCTTTTCAGTAACTTTCTATTGTTTCCTTTTGTATGTTTTATGTCCTGTGTTGGGCCAATATCTTACTAAATATATGGGTTCATTTACAGGGCATAAGAAAACAGTCATAATTGATTAATATGTCTGATTTTACTAACTGGTTCCACAGTATTGTTGGCTAGGTTCTGTAATTGTATTCTTATCCAAGTTAAATATTTTTAAAAATTAGGTGATTTTGAACTAAGAATTAAGAAGTAGTTTCTGCTTGTCAAGACTATGGACACAGTGCAAGGCCTGTTAAGCCCACAGTATTTTGAAACAGAAAATGCAGACTCATCTAACAATGCAGAACTACCAGAGGCTGAACTGTTTCTGTGTTTGTGTGTGCTTAATGTGAGGATGTTGCTGTACTGTAAGTGACAAAATTTACATTTTCAAGAATTTTCTTCCTGGCAGTTCTGCAGTTTTTGTTTTAAATTTTTAAAGCATTTTAAATATAGTTTTTAAAGGTTACTTTCCATTTACAGTTACTACAAAATATTGGCTCTGTTCCCTGTGTTGTACAATAATACATCCTTGAGCCTATACAGCCAACTGTTTGTACCTCCCACTCCCCGACCCCTGTACCCCACCGCCCCTCAGTTGGTAACCACTGGTTTGTTCTCTATATCTGTGAGTATATTCTTTTTTGTTATATTCACTAGTTTGTTGTATTTTTTATATTCCACATATAAGTGATATCATACAGTATTTGGCTTTCTCTGGCAGTTCTGCAGTTTTGACTAAATTAAAAACGGTAAAAAAGTATGAATTGGTTTCAAAGGTCATGTTTGATGTATTGCACCAGATAAACTTGAAAAAAGGTATTTAATTTGTGGAAACCTGCTTACGGGCTGGTAAGGTTTTCTGAAGGAAGTGTTAGCAAGGAAGTATTAGTATTAGCAGGAAGTTAGGGATCTCATTTTTCTTCGTTTGTCCATAAAGCACTATCCTAAAACCTTATTTCTGGTTCATGTTGCCAGCATGATGAAATGTAAAAAGGCAATTGGATTGGGAGTCAGGACATTTAATGATGTTGACAGGTAATTTAACTTATGAGTCTCTGTTGTACATTGTGTTTCACAGTCATTGCCATACTTCATAGGGTATTTGTGAAGATCAAATATGATATAAAAATATCACTTTGTAAGTGGCAGAGTGATCTACCCATGAAAAATATTATTGGCCTGCATAAGTAACATTTACATAAAACATATTCTACATTTGAAGAGTGATGATTTAATCTCATACATACTTTTAGACTGGGAAGTTTAATGGAAAAAAGTCAGATGAGATCTTCATTTGATTTTTTGATAGATTTTCTTGCCTTTTACTAGGCTGAAGGAAACCTGGCCCCTTTCCTGACTGTGACTTTGCACTCTGCTGCATTAAAGGTCCTGAAAGCAGAGTGCTTATGTTTGGGCCTTTAATTTTGGTTTTGATTTGTTTTAGTTGTGCATCTAAAGTATAAATCTAACTTAACAGTAGGAATGGGTGGTGTTTTTAACGTTCAGAAATGGTACTTTAAGTTGATTTCATAAACAGCCTACAAAGAATGTGAAATCCCAGCCTTCCAGAGATACAGTGCCTGTGTAAGCATTTGTCTTTCAGGGAAAGAAACAGTTTAGAGCTTAGACTTCTCCTTTTGGGGACGTCAATCCTGCGTATATTACATACAGCATCTGACCCTTGAGATCAACTTCAAGTTGAGTTGACATATAGAACATTCAAGTAAAAAAGTCTTTTAGAAACTTGTTTGAGGACTTTATGAGAGCAAATGTAAGTGAAAGTGAAAGGCAAAGAAATATAACGTATCATGGGGTTGGTAATGACTGCTTATGTATTTGATTAGTTGATAACTCAAATAACATCTTTACTGACATTTTATCTGATATTACTACTAGAAAGTAACAGTGAA